ACAAATTACCTCAACTAACCTGTACCCCCGCACATTGACTCGGTACCGGTACCCCCTGTATATAGCCTCATTATTGTTATTTTATTGTGTTACTTTTTATTTATTTACATTTTTTACTTTACTTCAAGACAACTTTGCCTCCAGCCATTTTAATCAACCTTGAAGCCTATTCAGTATAAGATAATAAAATAATCACACAAGGTCACATTTGTCCTCCGGAGAAGGGAGAGTTTGTCATTTATTGAATTTAAAGCCCATCTCTCCATTGAACCTGTTAATATTTAACTGAGGGAGGACACCCTCACATCATAAATTACCAAGAGTGCCCTCACTTAAGTGCGGGAGTCAGTGGCGTGACTTGGAAGACGAAGGGTGAAAGATGTTCACTGGACACTCTCTCTCTCTCACGTGTGTGTGTGTCACGTGTGTGTGTGTGTCACGTGTGTGTGTGTGTCACGTGTGTGTGTGTGACACGTGTGTTTGTGTATGTTTGTGACATGTGCATTTCTTTTCCCACATTATCAGGACCCCAATGTCCTCACATTTCACCTTAATGTCCTGACAAGGTACGAAAACAATAACTTCTTTGAAAAGTCAGGACTTTTTTCAGGTCCTGAATTTCTTCAAATGCTATTTTAAGCTTAAGGGTTAGGTTTAGGGTTTTGGGGTTAGGTTTAGGGTTAGGTTTAAGGTTTTTGGGGTTAGGGTTAGGTTTAGGGTTAGGGAAAATAGGATCTCTAATGGTGAAAACATTTTACACTCCAAAAAGTCCTGAAATGTCATGAAAGCACAGCTGTGTGTGTGAGTGTGTGTGTGTGTGTGTGTGTGTGTGTGTGTGTGTGTGTGTGTGTGTGTGTGTGTGTGTGTGTGTGTCCCATCCCATTCCCCCAACCTCCCATCCCATTCCCTCAGAACAGCCACAATTCATTGGGGCATGGACTCTACAAGGTGTCGAAAGCATTCCACAGGGATGCTGGCCCATGTTGACTCCAATGCTTCCCACAGTTGTGTCAAGTTGGCTGGATGTCCTTTGGGTGGTGGACTATTCTTGATACACACAGGAAACTGTTGAGCATGAAAAACCCAGCACTGAAATCCTTTGCCTTGCCCATTCACCCACTGAATGGCACACATACACAATCCATGTCTCAATTGTCTCAAGGCTTAAAAATCCTTCTTTAACCTGTCTCCTCCCCTTCATCTACACTGATTGAAGTGGATTTAACAAGTTACATCAATAAGGGATCATAGCTTTCACCTGGATTCACCTGGTCAGTCTATGTCATGGAAAAAGCAGGTGTTCTTAATGTTTTGTACACTCAGTGTATCCAACTAATTGATAATTACTGCATACAGTAAACAACTGGGACGATTACCATGGAAGTAATGGTCACTGAGCTCAGGACCCTGGGACTAAACCCCTCCCTCTGCAACTGGATCCTGGACTTCCTGACGGGCCGCCCCCAGGTGGTAAGGGTAGGTAACAACACATCTGCCACGCTGATCCTCAACACGGGGGCCCCTCAGGGGTGCGTGCTCAGTCTCCTCCTGTACTCCTTGTTCACCCATGACTGCATGGCCAGGCACGACTCCAACACCATCATTAAGTTTGCCGACGACACAACAGTGGTAGGCCTGATCACCAACAATGATGAGACAGCCTCCGACCGCAAGGCACTACAGAGGGTAGTGCGTACGGCCCAGTACATCACTGGGGCCAAGCTTCCTGTCATCCAGGACCTCTATACCAGGCGGTGTCAGAGGAAGGCCCTAAAAATTGTCAAAGACTCCAGCCACCCTAGTCATCGACTGTTCTCTCTGCTACCGCACGGCAAGCGCCAAGTCTAGGTCCAAGAGACTTCTTAACAGTTTCTACCCCCAAGCCATAAGACTCCTGAACAGCTAATCATGGCTACCCGGACTATTTGCACTGCCCCCCCATCCCCACCCACCCCCTCTTTTACGCTGCTGCTACTCTATTTATTATCTATGCATAGCCACTTTAACTCTACCCACATGTACATTTTACCTCAATTACCTCGACTAACCGGTGCCCCCGTACATACCCCCTGTATATAGCCTCCCTACTGTTATTTAATTTTACTGCTGCTCTTTAATTATTTGTATTATTCATTTTTTACTTAACACTTATTTTTCTTAAAACTGCATTGTCGATTAAGGGCTTGGAAGTAAGCATTTCACTGTAAGGTCTACACCTGTTGTATTCGGCGCATGTGGCAAATACAATTTGATTTGATTTGATTTGATGGTTGAGTCTAACTCGATGGATGGCAAATTCTGCTCTCTGTCTTATCAATAAATTACGTTTTGTCTTGACTTTAGAAAGAGTAATAGCTACCTGATCTGAAAAAGAGTGTTTGTTGAGAAAAGCTCTCACACAGTTAACAACATTTCCAATACTGATATCTTCTTTAATTGTGATTTATTCAACCCTGATACAAATGCAGTTGCATTATTTTAAATAAAACCTTTGGTGGTATCCTATAGAAACTGGGGGTCATCGACTGAATTTTGATTTATCATTAGGAAGTAATTTAGTTCAATTTCAAATTGATCCCAATTTGCAAGTCGCTCTGGATAAGAGCGTCTGCTAAATGACTTAAATGTAAATCACAGAATGTAGAATTTTGTAGTAATGTGGCTCATTTAGGAGATTCTGAAACTTTGAAATTGGCAGTAGTAGGCGTGGTGATCGGACAAGCTCATATGTCGAATTTCTATTTTCTTAATTAACACTTGCGTTCTTATGACAGCTATAGCAACTGTTATAATGCACTTTACACTATGTGTATCATAAGGCATTATAAATGAACTAATAAAACATATGTCTGTGCGTTCCAAAACAAGCCTCATAGAAAGTGTCACCAAATTAATTTCTAATTGGCTATTGGACTGAACCACTGACCAATAGCAGTAGCATTACAGCCTGGTTTCCACCGACCAATAGCAGTAGTGTTAGCAGCCTGGATTCCACCGACCAATAGCAGTAACATTACAGCCTGGATTCCACTGACCAATAGCAGTAGCATTAAACATTCCAAACTGACAGTCTGTTTCACCATTTGTTCTGTTTCACCATTCAGAGCTTATCAGTTTGGATTCCAGGCTAATAGTGTTAACCCCTGTCTAATTTTGTGGTTGAATAATCTGCTGTGGTTCAGTAGCATCATCTGCCTGATGAGATTATCATTAGTAATGGAGAAGGTGTATAAAGATGGCAGAATTCAGATATGACATAATTGTTTAAGCACTATCCACTGAGTTTTTCAACTACTGCGCACGACATGGTTCAATGTGCCAGTAAATCAGCACAATCTACTTTAAAAAAGATATATATAGCCGCCGTCTTGGAGCTAGAATTGGGATCATGTACACTGCGCTAATGCCGATTTTTTTTTAAATAGTAACTGAGAGCACAGTACAATATGGCATACTTAGCAAACGAGGCATTTGTGGTAAGCACATGGGCGCCGCCATATTTATGCAGGGTAAATATCAAGGCTCAGTCTTGATGAGATTGTTCATCCCCCCCCATGTGGTTGATTTCTGATTCTCTATATTTCTCTCTCTCCCTGTCAGTTCTGTCTGGAGGGTTGGGGTGAGGGATAGGGTTAGGGTTAGTGTTAGGGATGGGACATGACATATGATCCCGATATTACATTGACCCTGTGAGTGTCCACATTCCTGTGAAGTAGATATACCATTGCCTACTGCAGCAACTGGATGCCTCCCCCCAAATTTAAAACTTCCTCTCTCCTGGATTCCAGCTTTTAGTGAACAATCACATCCTCTCTCCTGGATTCCAGCTTTTAGTGAACATTCAGACGTGTCTCCTAGATTCCAGCTTTTAGTGAACAATCACTTCCTCTCTCCTGGAGTCCAGCTTTCGGTGAACAATCAGACCTGTCTCCAGGGGCAACCTTCACAAATTGCTTTTGCCAACAGAGACAATAGAGGCCAGAGACACAGGCTGCGCTGACTGATGAGTGATGGTGATAGCCTGTCGATCAGTAGCAGTGAGTGTGTGGTTGTGCGTGTGTGTGTGTGTGTGTGCTGTCACATTACCTCAGACAGAGGATGACAGAGTGGGAAGGAAGATTATAGAGATTAAAGAGGATGAGTTACTAATTTGCACCTGATCTTCTGAGTCAGTGAGACACAAGGCAAAATGAATCGATATGCAAACGCAATACATAAATGAATGTACTGTATATTCTGCCTTCTAATAGTAAGATAGATTACGTTGGATTCATTGTGTTGTTATTGTGAGGAAAAGTGTTCATGAATAATGTTTGGAGTATCACAATTCGAACTCCACCCAGTGTTTCAAAATGATTGATCGTTACTCACAGATGCATTCTTAAAGCTCAATCTGTCTTCAATGACATATCTGTAACAGGAGACTCAGTGGTGGGAATAGGGATATTACAAAGTCTTGGCTATCTCATACACCCGGCTGCTATGTGATGGACAGGAAGTATGCTAGACTTGGCTGCAACACAAAAAATTAAATCATATTTCCTCATAAACAACAACTCCACATGCAAAAATATATGCAAAAATACTTTATTTGTTACAGCCATTATAGTAGTGAACTCCTCCTCTCCCTCTGATCAAGTCGTGGCTCAGTTAGGGCTCCTGAGAGGGAGCTGGAAAAGAGAAAACACATTCTCAGAATCGTCCCTTTCACAGAAAGACATTTGACCTGTTAGATACAGTCTCCAATGGGCTACATGTTCTAGCATGGCTTTGTGATACAAAGAGAGCCCAGTCATAAGGATGGGAAAGCTCAGGCAAACTCAATCAAGCGCCGCCAAAGAAGTGCTAAAAGTAATAAATACTATTTGAACCCAGATCTGATCATTTCTAGTATCAGCCATCATAAAACGCTAACCTTGCTGGGTGGTGATGATCTATCAGTGTGTCACCCCTTGGAGCCACACCCCCAAGGCCACTTGTGTGTTGCCCTCAGACAGGCTCTACTCTGCCCCGTGAGTCGCGTCCCCGCTCTCCCCTCCCATGCCCACCAGCTCCAAACACAGCGTCATGTCTCTCTCCCACTGGGCCAGAGCCAACTGGGATTGGGAGTACAGTGCTCCACCACTCAGATAGTTGAGAGAATGGACCCCGGGCATGGGGAGGGGCCTGTACCACCTTCACCTCCCGCTTCTGTGGAGATAAGGGGACATCCATCAATCCTATTGGTTTATCTGCTTGTCTGTCATTAGACAGACACACACATCCTGTATTCGCAGCCCAGATGACCACACCTCCTGTATTCTCAGCCCAGACGACCACACCTCCTGTATTCTCAGCCCAGATGACCACACCTCCTGTATTCTCAGCCCAGACGACCACACGTCCTTTATTCTCAGCCCAGATGACCACACATCCTGTATTCTCAGCCCAGATGACCACATGTCCTGTATTCTCAGCCCAGGCGATTGGCTTTCACATGTAGTTTTGTCTTCTTTCTCTTTAGACAGTATACATTCCGCCTCTAGATCTGACTTAGACATCTCGGTGGCTGTCACAAGTCTGTTTGAGTCCTTTGTCGACTGTCCATCTTTCATATGGCATGTCTGGTATGGGGTTTCTGCTTTTTCCCAAGGCAGACGCAGCTGAACCTCCGGTGTTTCTTCATCATAGTCACCACAAGAAGAAAGAGCTCCCTGATGAAGCTGCCTGCTGTCAGAGCATCACTATTTTATGAATAAAACAACATGTGTAAGAAACGTAAAAGTGCTGATGACTCATCATCAAAAAAGAAATTAAGGCTATATCTCGAGAGTTATCTTAACTTCGGTTTTATTGAAGGACAGGACAGGACTCGGCCAGAATGAAGCTAGCTAATGATAGCATGAAGCCAAGCAAAATGCAACGACACCAGGAAACAAAACACCAGGAGACTATTGGTGAAGGTCAGGATTTTTTTGAGAGGCAGAAGCAGTTGGCACTATCAAAAAGATCCACAGAAATCAGAAAAGCATTTGAAAGAGCAGGCAGTGATTTACACAGAGCCACGGAGGCGTCATTTGAGTGTTCGCTATTAATTGCCAAGGCTAAAAAGCCGCACAATATTGGAGAGCAGCTGATCAAACCCGCCTGCCTGAAAATTGTAGAGAGGCTGTGTGGCCCACAGGTGGTGGATAAAGTGAGAACCGTCCCACTCTCTGACAACACTGTCAAAGACAGAATTGATCAAATGGCTGGAGATTGTCAAAACCAGCTGCACGAGAAGCTTAGGAATGTTCCATTTGCCATTCAGTTGGATGAAACAACAACAGTGTCAGACGAATCCGTGCTCATCGTTTATGTGCAATATATTGACGGTGACGACTTGAAACAAGACATTCTTATGTCTACCAATCTAGCCACAACAACAACAGGTCATTATATTTTTTATAGCTATGGACTCATATCTCTCGTCCAACAATCTGCCCTACGAGAATATTGCCGCATGCTGCACTGATGGGGCTGCAGAGTTGATGGGCAAAAACAAGGGATTTAACAGCCGATTGAAGGAAAAAGCCCCGGGGTGTGCAATTTTCCACTGCGTGCTACATCGCCAAGCATTGGCCAGTGTAAAACTTTCGGAAGACCTTAGTAACACCCTGGCAACTGTTGTTAAACTTGTAAACTTCATTAAGGCTCGCCCTACTAACAAGAGACTGTTTGCCCAGCTGTGTTAGGATGAAGCACATCAAACACTGCTGTTACACACAAGTGCTTGTGCATTTTATGGAACTGCAGGAAAAAATAAAGGAATTCTTGTAAGATCACAATCGACCACTGTGCGAACAGCTGACTGATGGGTTTTGGATAAAAACGGCATACCTAGCGGATACATTCACTCTCTACATGAGACAAACAAGCGGATGCAGGGTCCTGAATCAAACGTCATTCAGTGCAAAGACGCTCTCTGCACTTTTGTGCGGAAACTGGAGTACAGAGTTGGAAAAATGTCAAAAGGGGAGCTACAATCAATCAATCAATCAATTTTATTTTATATAGCCCTTCTTACATCAGCTAATATCTCGAAGTGCTGTACAGAAACCCAGCCTAAAACCCCAAACAGCTAGTAATGCAGGTGTAGAAGCACGGTGGCTAGGAAAAACTCCCTAGAAAGGCGAAAACCTAGGAAGAAACCTAGAGAGGAACCAGGCTATGAGGGGTGGCCAGTCCTCTTCTGGCTGTGCCGGGTGGAGATTATAACAGAACCATGCCAAGATGTTCAAAAATGTTCATAAGTGACAAGCATGGTCAAATAATAATCAGGAATAAATCTCAGTTGGCTTTTCATAGCCGATCATTAAGAGTTTGAAAACAGCAGGTCTGGGACAGGTAGGGGTTCCATAACCGCAGGCAGAACAGTTTAAACTGGAATAGCAGCAAGGCCAGGCGGACTGGGGACAGCAAGGAGTCACCACGGCCGGTAGTCCCGACGTATGGTCCTAGGGCTCAGGTCTCTCAGTTGGCTTTTCATAGCCGATCATTAAGAGTTGAAAACAGCAGGTCTGGGACAGGTAGGGGTTTCGTAGCCGCAGGCAGAACAGTTGAAACTGGAATAGCAGCAAGGCCAGGCGGACTGGGGACAGCAAGGTGTCATCATGCCCGGTAGTCCTGACGTATGGTCCTAGGGCTCAGGTTCTCAGAGAGAAAGAGAGAACGAGAGAATTAGAGAGAGCATACTTAAATTCACACAGGACACTGGATAAGACAGGAGAAGTACTCCAGGTATAACCAACTAACCCCAGCCCCCCGACACATAAACTACTGCAGCATAAATACTGGAGGCTGAGACAGGAGCGGTCCGGAGACACTGTGGCCCCATCCGAAGAAACCCCCGGACAGGGCCAAACAGGAAGGATATAACCCCACCCACTCCGCCAAAGCACAGCCCCCGCACCACTAGAGGGATATCCCCAACCACCAACTTACAATCCTGAGACAAGGCCGAGTATAGCCCACAGAGGTCTCCACCACAGCACAAACCAAGGGGGGGGCGCCAACCCAGACAGGAAGATCACGTCAGTAACTCAACCCACTCAAGTGACGCACCCCCCCCAGGGACGGCATGAAAGAGCACCAGCAAGCCAGTGACTCAGCCCCTGCAACAGGGTTAGAGGCAGAGAACCCCAGTGGAGAGGGGAACCGGCCTGGCAGAGACAGCAAGGGCTGTTCGTTGCTCCAGCCTTTCCGTTCACCTTCACACTCCTGGGCCAGACTACACTCAATCATATGACCTACTGAAGAGATAAGTCTTCAGTAAAGACTTAAAGGTTGAGACTGAGTCTGCGTCTCTCACATGGGTAGGCAGACTGTTCCATAAAAATGGAGATCTATAGGAGAAAGCCCTGCCTCCCGCTGTTTGCTTAGAAATTCTAGGGACAATTAGGAGGCCTGCGTCTTGTGACCGTAGCGTACGTATTGGTATGTACGGCAGGACCAACTCGGAAAGATAGGTAGGAGCAAGCCCATGTAACGCTTTATAGGTTAACAGTAAAACCTTGAAATCAGCCCTTGCCTTAACAGGAAGCCAGTGTAGGGAAGCTAGCACTGGAGTAATATGATCAAATTTCTTGGTTCTAGTCAGGATTCTAGCAGCCGTATTTAGCACTAACTGAAGTTTATTTAGTGCTTTATCCGGGTAGCCGGAAAATAGAGCATTGCAGTAGTCTAACCTAGAAGTAACAAATGCATGGATTAATTTTTCTGCATCATTTTTGGACAGAAAATTTCTGATTTTTGCAATGTTACGTAGATGGAAAAAAGCTGTCCTTGAAACAGTCTTGATATGTTCGTCAAAAGAGAGATCAGGGTCAAGAGTAACGCCTAGGTCCTTCACAGTTTTATTTGAGACGACTTTACAACCATCAAGATGAATTGTCAGATTTAATTTCCACTGCAGATGAAACAGTCTGGTGGCACTGTGCCTGCGTCTTTACACACTGAGTTTACCCGGCCCATGAACATGCTTCAGGAGGAAATTAAATCCTGTTTTGCCGATGTTGACGAATACTTATCAAAGGAAGCATGGGTGATTGACCCTTACATTTGCAGTCTCGAGGATGTGGAATACCTCGGCTGTGAAGACGAGCTTGTTGACCTTTAAGCCGATTCTATGTCAAAGAAGGGGGGACGGGGGGACGGGGGGGGCTCCAAGGAAAAAAGGTTGGGAACCACTGCTTTATGACATAATCACTGCATCGGTGACACATCTTGTATGAAAATGTGGGTGATATCACAGATAGAACCCTGATGCTGCTTTAATGTTCTAGTGCCTTGAAGGGCACTATGTCACATGGGATGATGTCATCATAGAGTACCAACCCCACACTAAAAACGATGAATAATGGTTTAGGTTTATAGGTCAAGCTAGTTCAAGGGCAACAAAAGTCCCTCCTGCCCCAAAAAGTAAACAAGATGAACCAGTATGTCTTTACAGTGTATTTTCAACTAAAATACCATGAAACATAGATAAATTACATAAAGAATGAGAGTAAAAAGCTATGGAACACCTTAAATGAAATGTTGGGCAAAAAGGCAAACTCAGCTCCATCACTCATTGAATCAGATGGCTCATTCATCACAAAACCCACTGATATTGCCAATTACTTTAATGATTTTTTAATTGGCAAGATTAGCTAATTTAGGCATGACATGCCAGCAAGAAACGCTGACAATACACATCCAAGTATAACTGATAAAATTATGAAAGACAAGCATTGTCATTTTTTATTCTGTAAAGTGAGTGTGGAAAAAGTGAAACAATTATTGTTGTCTATCAACAATGACAAGCCACCGGGGTCTGACAACTTGGATGGAAAATTACTGAGGATAAAAGCGGACGATATTGCCACTCCTATTTGCCACATCTTTAATTTAAGCCTGCAAGAATGTGTGTGCCCTCAGGCCTGGAGGGAAGCAAAAGTAATTCCGCTACTTAAAAATAGTACCCTTAGTAAACTTTTTGAAAAAATTGTGTTTGACCAGATACAATGCTATTTTACTGTAAAAAAATTGACAACAGACTTTCAGCACGCTTATAGGGAAGGACATTCAACAAGCACAGCACTTACACAAATGACTGATGATTGGCTGAGAAAAATATTGTGGGAGCTGTTTTGTTAGACTTCAGTGCGGCTTTTGAAATTATCGATCGTAGTCTGCTGATGGAAAAACAGACAGTACCAGTCAACGGTTTGGACACTCCTACTCATTCCAGGGTTTTTCTTTTCTTTTTACTATTTTCTACATTGTAGAATAATAGTGAAGACATACGTTTATCTGGATTTCTTTGTTGTTATTCTGTCTCTCACTGTTCAAATAAACCTACCATTAAAATTATAGACTGATCATGTCTTTGTCACTGGGCAAACGTACAAAATCAGCAGGGGATCAAATACTTTTTCCCCTCACTGTACGTGTGTGTAGATTGCGTGTCTTATCATGTGTATGTGTGTCTGTGTCTGTGCCTGTGTGTGTGTCTCTTCAAAGTTCCCGCTGCTCCATAAGTTTTATTTTTATCCGTTTTACCAAGAAAACAATTGGTAACACACTACGCCGTGAA